CGTCCCCTCCCCTCCCCTTCCCAGAGTGCCACAGGTTTCCTGCAGTACCTGGACGTGTCCGTGGGTAAGGAGGTGGCGGCCATCTGCACCAAGACCGGTCGACTGGACGTGATGTGTCAGAATCCTCGTAACGCCATCGTCCACCTGGGACATCCAAACGGGACGGTCAGCCTGTGGTCCCCCAACCAGAAGGAGGCGCTGGTCAAGATGCTGTGCCACCAGGGCGGCGTGCGATCCGTGGCTGTGGACAAGACGGGGACGTGAGTGTCGTCCCTGTGTCTCCGCTCCGTTTCCTGTCAGTCCGCTGACGCCCACTTCTGTAACGACGTCTTTCCTGTTTCCTGTTGGCAGATACATGGTGACATCTGGGATGGATAAGAAGCTCAAGGTCTACGACGTCCGAGCCTACAAGCCGCTCCAGTCCTACTTCCTGCCTGCCGGAGCTTCCTGTTTGTCCCTCAGTCAGAGGGGCTTACTGGCTGCAGCCACGGGGGACGTGGTCCAGGTCAGTGGTCCACGTCCGTAGAAGACTGTACTACGGTTTACGGTCAGTCGTGTCCCTGACCCTGACCCTGGTGTGTGTGTGTGTGTGTGTGTGTGCGTGCAGGTGTACAGAGACGTGTGGACCACGGCCGTGACCAAACCCTACGTGGCCCACAGACTGAGAGGGACAGTGTGGGGTCTGCAGTTCTGTCCCTTTGAGGACGTCCTGGGGGTGGGACATGGAGAGGGCTTCACCAGCATGCTCGTCCCAGGTTACACTCCACACCAGCAGCAACACTGCCACATACTGTTCACATGTAGTAACTACAAGACCGCACGTGAAGTCGTCTCTGTGCTGTGTGGAAGAAACAAACCAAAAGTCCAAATGATATATATGTGAATATATATATACATGTATTTATATATGTATGTATATATGTATATATGCTCACATATAGATTTTTTTATCTGCATGTATTTATATATGTATGTATATATGCACACACATATAGATTTTTTTATCTCTCCCGTTCATATATATGAACGTTTATATATTTATATGTTAATATATTTGGAAAGATATATTTATGTCTACGTTGACATTTCTGTATTTATACATATATAGACAAATATATATACACATATATCTGACCTTCATCTGTGCTGACCGGTTCATATGTACAGGTGCTGGGGAGCCGAACTTTGATGGTTTGGATGCAAATCCTTACGGCAACAAGAAGCAGAAGCAGGAGTGGGAGGTCAAGGCTCTGCTGGAGAAGATCCAGCCAGAACTGATTGGTCTGAACCCTGGGGAACTGGGAAAAGTGGACCACGCCTCTTTCCAACGGAGACATCAGGACAGAGTTGAAGCTTTGGTCAGTGTGTGGTCAGTGTGTGGTCAGTGCGTAGGCGTCTGATCGGGTTTGATTTCCTGTCAGTCCGGTTGAATCTGAATTTTCTAAAAACGTCTTCTTCTTCTTCTTGTTCATTTCAGGGCTACGATCCTCTGGCCAAAGAGAAATTTGTTCCCAGGTATAAGAAAAAGGGTCGCAGTTCTACTGGTCGTATTGAAAAGCGCAAGAAACAAGTGGCCCACGAGGACCAGAGGGTGAGGAGTCCACAGACGTGGGCTGGGAGGGGTGAGGCGGGTGAGGCGGGTGAGGAGGCAGCTGTGGTGTTGACTCTGTTGTGTTTCCAGGAGGTCATCAAACAGACGGTGGAGGACAGAATGAAGGTGGAGAAGGAGAGGCTGGAGAAGGAGAAGAAGGAGGCGTCGTTGTCCAGCAACACATCGGCTCTGGACAGATTCAGGAAATAGGAAACCATGAGTCACTGTGCGGGGGCGGAGGGGGGAGGGCGGGGGATCTTTGAACTCCATATAAGGAACTTCTTTGTGGACATCGAGGGACCAGTCATAAACTAGAACTTCTAAAAACTCTTGAGGCCCCTCTGACCTCTGACCTCTGTTCTACAGACTGAGGAGCTGCTGTGGACGACACTGAAGTTTCTGTCATTAAAAGTCGGGTCTTTGTCTTTTTAAAGTCAGTCATTGAAAATGATGTTCATAAAAAAAAAAACTTTTTTGTTTTTGTGTTTAAAATTTTGAAGCTTTTCATTCGTCTGCTTCACCAGGGTCAGCAGGGGGCGCTGTAGTCACTGCAGTCATTTCACCAGGGTCAGCAGGGGGCGCTGTAGCCAGTCACTGCAGTCATTGTCATATAAAACCAGGTTGGATGTTGTGTCTCAGTCAGGGTGGGGTCGTTAGAACCAGTGATGGGGTTTAAAAGTTCTGAACGTCTGCTGCTGATGACGACGGTTCAGTTGGTGGTAAAACTCGTGGCTCGTGGCCCGGTGTGTTTGTCTGAAGGAAAGTCCAGACGCTCTCAGATCCACAGAACTTTATTCATGTTTGGGTTCACACATATTTTCCTGAGAGTACATTTACTTTACTCCAATACTTCACAGAAATAAAGTCGGACCAGGGACCAGCTGCAGTTCTGGATCGGTTCTTTTGGGTCACAGTTGACGAGACGATGCAGTAATACTTGGTGGTAGAAGTAAATCTTTGTGCCTATAGTATTGCAGTATTACACTTATACCTTATACTTATCATAGAGGGCAGGTGAGATGCGTATCTTGCCCCTAGAGGGCAGGTGAGAGAGGTGCAGCGTTCAATAACGTCTCAGGTTCTGAATGTGTTGAATGTCCTGGACCGACTCAGAGCAGCGGCACCTTTGGGTTTGACAGCTTTGTTTCTGTGAAATACCGTCGCCTGATTGGCCGAACACAGACCAATCTAAAATCATTGGTACAAAACTTCTTCCGTCCATGGCTCCGTCACCAGGTGACAGTCACTGGTACTGTCCTGCGTCCTGACCATGTGTCAAACATGGAACCTTCACTGTCCTCTACAGCAGTGGTTCCTAAATGTCTTCTCAGCAGCGCCCCCTTTCTGTAGCCCTCCCCACATTAACACATTCACAGCTACTGCTGTGTCTGGGTGTCCCGCCCCTGACCTTGAGAACCACTGCTGTGCAGCTTTATCCGTTTGCGGCTGAGGTCCAGCAGGGACAGAACCCTGGACGGTTCTGGAGTCCAACCCCGGGTCACATTAGGAACCAACAGTCCTTCACACCTGTGGTCAGGGCTGAGAAGAACACGCTGACTCCATGCTGTAAGGCAGGAGCACCGTCCACTCCTCCACCGCGCGGCCCCTCAGTGGGTTTTTTTTATTGCATTGTTTAAACAGAGGTTTTCACAGCTTTGTTTTACTCCACGTCTGTGCAAGTACTGAGTACTGAGTACTGTCTGAAGGAACTCTGTGTCGCTCTTATTAAAGTACTGCATATGAAGTACTGCTCTACTAACATATGTACTGTGTTTTATAGGGTTTACTGTAGACATGCATCGTCCTGGTCTAATATCTACAACTGAAGTACCAGCTGAGTATCTCAGTACTGCATGTGTCGCCTGCAGCTAGTACTTTTCATATCACTGCAAGTACTTGCTTGTGGGTACACAGTATTATCATGCCACTGTGGTTTAAAGCATTTTCAACAGTCAGGCTAAAGGTGTAGTTCAGACGTTAGTGCGGTGACACCAGGTCACATGACACACGGTAACGAGGTTTCATGAAGTTGTTGAACCTGATTCTGGTTTTTATCATTTGTGGGAATTCCCCTCTGACTTCGTGAAAATAGTTCTGGTTCCTGTAACTGGTGCGACAACACTTTACAATCTGAACTGACCCTTTAAAACTTTAATTTCAATGAGGCTAGGGGTTCTCAAACTACAGTACGTGTACCACCGGTGGTACGTGGTGTGAAGGTGTCTGGTCTGGTTTTTTAAAATATTGGTGGTACACGAAGCCAGGGTCTAAATACTATGTTATTAAATACTACAGTTACATATTTTACTTCATTCTGTGCGTTGGGGGTTAATGAATCAAGACCCCTGACCCCTGACCCCCTCCCAAAAAAGGAGTCCAGCTTGTGGACCGTGTGTTACTTTACAGCTGGTATTTACAGGTATTTGTTTTGAAGTACTGAGGAACTTTAACCAGCTAACTTAGCAACATTAGCACAGCTGTCGATGTAAACTAGACTAGACCAGAGGGGGGCGCTGCTGCTCTCTCTGAT